CTCACACGTTTAGAGCGGAGGAAACGCTGAAATAAGATTTTCAACAAGAGAAAACTTCCAAGTTATCATAGAAGTTTGAGTGGACCTGGGTCCTTTTACAGAAACCGGACTGCTGGTTACAAGCGTGGGAGGTAAAGTTGCTACCTGAACTTTGCAGGCGAATTACGAGGGGTTGATATTAGAAAGAAATGCATTTATTTAAATATATTCAGGAATGTCAGCAGGATTGACCATGCAAAAATGCTTGCCGTCGTGGCCCAGAGGTAGAGCTCCTGTTTTCTGGCAGTGCAGAACGGGCACGCTCTTCGTTGGCTGTGAAATTTTTGCTTGATTACCGATGAGAGCTTTTAGGTCACTTTTTGGCGCAACCTCAGTCTAGATGGTTCAAGGGACGGATGCAGCGGAAGGGCAGTTAGTCGCTGCAAACAACACGCCTGCACTACAAATGGTTGCGCAAACTTCGGAGAATTCACCTCGCACTGGCAATTGTAACTCGGGTGCTTTCCCGCTTGGGAAGCCTTGTATTCGCATTACGGAGTTCATTCACTTCTGAAAAGGAGGTTCAGTGAATATGGTGGTCAGTGTCGTTTTGGCTCTTGCTCCTGGCTGGCTCCTGGCCGGCTCGAACTGCTTGAGCGCGCGTCGCGTTTTGTCCTCTAGGTGGCTGCGAACGCTAGCTTTTCACTGGCAAAAGAAGTTCATGTTGTGTGGGCAAGCTGCATTTAGACTCATACGACGAACGACGATGACCTTCCGCCAGAGCAGCACAGGATGGGACTTGCGAAAGTCATTTATTTTCACCAGATGGCATCGCCGCTCTCGATGGGCGCTCCTCCTTCCTGTGCATGGCCCGGCTTCGCCGGACCATGCGATTTGCCGCGTGTTAAGTTAAGGATCGTTGACCAACCACACTGTTCAAAGGAATCTTCTGCATCAGCCAAGAACTGAAAAGCAGCGCTTGTTCCGTCAAGGCGCAGAAGCAGCAGCAGCCCCCCCCCCCGCATCACAGAAGGAGGAAAGCCTACCTTAGCCAGCGATCCGACTGGTACGTTCATAACCTACACGGAAATAGTGCAGCTGTTTGGACAGCCACTGAAGCAGCCAATAGATATTGTACGGTCTGCCATTCCTCCTAGAAGCGTCTTGCTTTGGAATGCACTCCCGCATTCAGCAGTGGAACCTTTAAATGGCCCTCACTAAGTTGCTGGAAGATAATTGTGGTAAGAGTGATAAAGTCAGTTGCTGCTGTTCATAACATCTCTGTAAACAAACCACATGCATTTGGAATAGAGCTGGCTTAGCGTCGTACACGATGTCGTTACTAATAGCGCGAGGAATGCAGTCCGTGTTGGAGTTCACTGAGATCCTATATTTTGAGTCATATCGATCGCATTGTTGTTGTGAGCGGTGAAGCGGATTTTCCCCATGTTACCTTGTCACTTTTAGCTCCTATCACTTCCGTACCCGCCAATAACACTCCCGTCCCGTATCACTTCTACACCTGTATCCGCCTCGGATCAGAAGTCCCACTATTGCCTGCCTAGCCGTTAGCGATCTATGACGACTTCCCCTTCCAGCCCGCGCTTACCGTATCTTATCACCTATTATCATTTCGTCGCCGCCTAATATGATTCCGTCCCACACCTATACCACCTCACGGATTTGCGTTCCCATGTTGCTCGTACCACTGCGCCCACGAATTTGATGACCTCCTCTTCCGAGGCCCCTTATCGGATCTTATCAACTGTTATCAGCTTCTGCCAGCCCCACCCTACGGCATATCAGTACTTGAAATCATGGTCCCGCCGTTGCTGCAACTTGCCACGAATTCGGTCACCCCTTTTAAGGCCCCTTATCGAATCTTATCAAGTGTTATCACCTCCTGTCACGCACAAAAGTGTTCCGTCTACCACGATATATTCACTTTTGAAATCACGGTCCTGCGCAGCTGCTGCAATTGCGCGCACCGATTTTCGGTCACCTCGCCCTTTCTAAGCCCTTATCGAATCTTATCAGTGTTATGACTCCTAGCACGTCACAAAAGTGTTCCCGTCTGCCATGTATAAATATACTCCTTAAAATGCGGTCCAGAACCTGATCTGCAACTTGCGCTACGAATTCAGTCACCCTCCCCTTCTACGGCCCCTTATCGTATCTTATCAAGAGTTATCACCTCCTGACACCCACCAAAAGTGTTCCCGTCCTGCCATGTATATCACTCTTAAAATCATCAGGCCCCAACACCCTGCTGCAAACTTGCGCTACGAATTCATCACACTCACGCCTTCTCATCGCCCCTTATAAGTATCTTATCAAGAGCTATCTCCGTGCCTGACACCCATCAAAAGTGTTCCCGTCCTGCCATGTATATCACTTCTTGGAACTGTCATCCTATCTTTTCTGCGACGCTCGCTATGAATTTCGTGACACACACACACACACACACACACACACACACACACACACACACACACACACACAATAGCGGATTATATAATAGTAGGCATAGAGAGTTCTATGAAGACAGTCTAGTCGAATCTCAGTTTTCAACCACCTTTTGAAGTTTGAGTCATAATATCGACTCCGCCGAAAGCTGGTTTCCAGCCTTAATTTGACTCCGTGAATGCGATTTTCACATCATTTTAAGACAAAAACGCCATGCGTTCACAAGCAGCGGCGGGAGATGCTTTCTCAAGGAAATGCGACGCGCTAACGCATATAGCGCCGAGCGTTTTTGCGTCGAATGGGTACTTACCAAGCACAGAAGTTCGCTCTCCAAAACCCTGTCTTAGTGCTGCTGAATGAATACGAGTAGTCCACCATATCGCCTGTTAGTATGTGAGTACCAGAAGTATCCTCTCCGGCTCAACGCACACCTGTGGTTTGCATGTGACGCTCAACTAGCTTGCCGTTTCCACGTGGGAAGTCGGCGTACCCGTGTTTCGGAGTCTCGGTAAGCTCCTATGACCCCGAAAGTGGCGACTGGGCATCTTGGCCGACAGATGCAGTGGGCGCCACATCCGGTCATGAGGTGATGCGATGCTCCTGATACTCTTATATGAGATGCGATGCTCCTGATACTCCCAATATGGTACTCATAACCCTTGTCCCATAAGACCAACACACGAACATCAAAGTGCACTTCTTGGCTAGTAAGCCTGTCAGCTACCAAATACTTTCATTTCTTATTCCAGATCTGTCCTTACGGGTTAATTAATTTCAGTGCTTTCGGACCTTTATTTCCTGAGTTTTTCGGTTGCAGCTTCTGTTTAAGTTGTGTTATTTATTTCAATTTTTCTTTCTTTTCTTCTTCTCTTAGTCAGTATTGCCATGTTTTACTTACTGCTATCGGTTGACTGACCGTGGCGCGTCCGTTGGGCGCAGATTAAATAAATATATAAATGAATGGGTAGTTTATGGGCATTCAGACAGCCAAATTTCCTTCAGCTTTGCAGTCTCATGGTCACTCAAATCGGAACGTGAACCCAAGCTCGTATTGTGCGGTTGTAAAGGGTAAGTAGCAAAACGTGTCCTGCACTTGGCGAAAATTTCCGCAAAATACGGCCTCACTTGGAAACTTCCTTCTAGTGGACCCGTTTTCCATTTCCCATCTCACCTACCATCTTCCTGAATGTTTCGAACTTTCTACCAATTTCTCTGAAGCCATTTCCAAAAATTCATCCACTTTTTTCACCAGTTTTCCTCAGACATTGCCGTCAAGAAGGGGAGGGAGGGGGGGGGGAAGCGCTTTGAGAAATTTAGGAAACCTCTAATTCTTCTCGTTGATATTGTACATTTTTCGGGAATAGTACTAACTTCATATGACGAAAATCTAATTTCATGTGTGCTGCTACTTGTGAAAGCTTCTTTCGGAACACCCCGATCTCCTCTTCAGCCAAGTCCTGTAGAAATTCCTGACATTAAGGATAAAGGATGAAGGATAAAGTCTTCGCCCTTGATCAGTCACTTTTGAGATGCGGCACGCATTCTACTTCCATTTAGATTGAATGCCGATGTGTGAATGCGATGTGGCCTATGCAATGGAGTGCCGGTGGCCAGCTGGTGTTCAAGTCCCAGGTTTTTACCTTCCCAGACAAATTTGGTATCAATTTAACATCTCCGGAGGGTAGAAAGCTTGTTTGGTCTGGGCAGGAGTCGACCCAGGATTTGAAAACCGCGCCATCTGTCAGTACACTACCTCTGCCACGCCTGACATTAACGCAAGAATTTGTAGGAATGGAATTCTTACAGGTGAGCAGAATGTGCCACTAAAGGTTGCAAGCCACAGCATTCGGAGTGGTTTCGACAAACGGAATGCGCTACGGAGGGTTATTTAGAAGGTGGTCCTGTTTTACCTCGAACTCCAAAGGTGACAGTCACATCTGGTAGGCATCTGGCATGAGTCTACTCAGTTTTTCAGGCTCTGATAGCGCGAAACGGCTGATAGTGTTTCTAGCAACTCGGGAGAACTTTGGACTACTATATTGCATCTTTTGTCCTTCGTTGTTTTTATCAGGGAAAATCGTCAACCAACGGCCCGTGAGAAATAAAGTCTGCTCGTTCCCGTGAACGACGCTCTGGCGCTCCAGGCTTACCCGCACCTTCATTCGCTTCGCTATCGTGCTTCTTTGAAGAAAGGCACACGGCGAAAGTAGCTGAAGAGGTGCGCAGGTGAGGGTTCGTGGAGAATATGAGCGCTTACTCCCGCTTACTTGGGGTCCGCGATGAAAAGCCTAGGTGATGTTGCAGAAATGTAGAAGAAAATTCGCCAAGTGAACCGTCTATGAGATAATATGCCAAAGGGAACGTTGGAAAACGCATTCGTCAGGTTTGGTAAAAGACCGAAAGACGAGTCATACATACTACTTTTTCAGATCATCCGTTCGTGTATATGTCTATTATTCCATCAGCTAAGTTATTCTGACCTTATTATTCTTTTTCACCGTTCGACGTTCTCGCCATCTCTGTGTTCATTTATATATATTCTATTATTCTATGCAAAGAAGTACGAGTAGTCTCATACGTAGTTCATAGCTCACAGGCTGCTCAGGGTTAAGAACTATTATGAGCAGAGTTCAGTGCTGTTCCTCATACGGGGCACTGCATTGGTATTTCAACTGCAGAAAGCCGATCTTCAGAAAATCTTCCTCAGAAAATTGAGGCCTTTCATCACGCGACTGCCCACTCTGCAAAGCTGTCCTAATCAAATTTTAGGCGAAATGGAGTGAGCGAGACGGTTAAAAAAGAGAGTTGTTTCTCTATGCAAATCTGCTCGCAGCCCCTACGAGAAATAGGAGGAAGGCACGAGGGCTCCAAAAAGGGTTACATTGCTAACCGCATGTGAGTGAACCCCAACGGTAAGTCACACCTACTCTTTTGATCTAGGAACTCAACAACTCAGCAATTCAGGGTGGTTTTGCTTTATCCGCTAGCCCTGGTGTTTCTAACGAGTTGTAAATCTCTACGCAAGAATACGTAATGCGATCAAGTCGATCCTCCAGATCTTACGTTCTATATGGGGTCTGCGCATTAGTGTTTTCACACTTTCCTATAAAAGGTTGAATGTTTCATAAATGGGGTATGTGACAAGAGATTTCGTAAATTTGCCGCCTGGGAGGGCGTCCGGCCCGCCACAAAGGACGATGCGCTTCAGGCAGTAGATCGGCCAATTTAAGGCCCGAAACATAATGAGCTGTCTACGATGACGGGTTACATGAAGTCCGGTGCTTTTATTCGACAGGTTTAACGATATGAAAACGCGCGCCCATCCTCCTATTTTGGGGTGCATCACGTCCCAATAAGGTTTGGTGGTTCGGAGTGGTAGCTTGCCGCGCACACTTTAATCTTTAATCTTTATCTACATGAATAATAAGACATTACAATTACAGCACTATATCTACAATGAACCATGACAGGGTAGTTGCGCCCTAGCTGCGTGCAGGTTGTCCTCGCGTAGTTTGTCTTGTCTTCCTCGTAGTTTTCACAGTAGTATAAGGCATCAGCATCCGCCGGGGGTCCGCCGGCCCGTAGCATGTCCTCATCCTATAAGGTTAGCTAAAAGTAGTGTATTCATATAAGTATTCTCCATTATATTACATATGTATTGTACCTCGTATTGTATTCGTCATTGTTGAGAGGAGAGAGAGAGAGACTAAGAAGAGCCCGCCGATCGCGGAAGACGAAGGGTCGAACTGAAGCCTAGCTCCCCTCTGGCACCGGTATTTATTGGCTCGAAAAAGGGCGGTACGGCCAAACCGGTTCTGGGCGGTACAAGTCCCGCCTCCAGGAAGGGCCGTATGACTCATTCTGCGTTTGTGGAAGTAGTGGCACTAAAAAGTGCTAGGGGTGCCTCATCATTATCATGACCGAGGGTCATGACACTCCGCACAACGACAACAGTCATAAAGATCCTGTCTCCGTATTTTGCCTTTGGCATCCTCCCCGCCAGCGAATAAGAAGGTAAGTATTGTTATGGTGTAGTGTGGAATCAAGGAATCGTGTGAGCAAGGTGCAGCAGGGCGTATGGGGAACTAGCACATTCGCATATTTCAATAAGGGCTAAAGAAGTGACACCAATCTAAAACAACTGCACAGAATCTTATGTCTAGACAATTCTACGGATATGTAACTACAAAGGAGGATACTATATGAGATTGAACAATCAAGGGTACAAATACTATGATGACATGATTGTTGCTTGCGTCCATGGTGCGTGGCGCTGTCCATTCGAGAATGACGAGTATATGCGACGTCGTTGGGAAGTCGACGGCTGCCACGTACGAAGTTGTCCCAAAGCAAGTGGAGCACCATTAGAGGTGTTGCGAGACGGTCTTCTGGATGTATTGGGTGTGCATATTAGTATTGTAAGCCGTTAGAATTTCATCTGGTATCAATGTAGAATGTGTTTGCACAGGATACGAAAGGGAATGCGTATCAAGGTGATGGTAATGGAGAAGATGCGTCGAATGATATGAAGAAGGAGAAATATTATGCGGAATGGTGGTATATATGACAGTAGTTGAGGGATTGAAGTTAGTGTGGCCTTTTTGTGCTTATAATTTTGTGAACAAAAGATATTGTTGCTCATCATGAGGGCACTAATGAGGATATAAGTACGTGTCTCAAACTGGTAAATAAAGAATGCTTGCAGGTATCGAGGAAGTGTGATATGTCTGGAAATGCGAATTCAATATTAAGGGAAGCATCGGTAGAAGTATTTCGTGTCCAAGAGTGGATGTAGTTCCATAGCGGTTTGAAGCCGTTCACGTAATTGAGTGTTCCTTGGCAATTCGAAAATCGTGATGTAT